TTTTGTATATATTACATTGGGGAATACCGAATGAATTAAGGAATTACAGAAAACTGAAATTTTATTCAACTTGTCAAAGTTTTTTCTATTTTTCGTCGGGAATGACCCCGAAGAGGGCGTTGACGGAGTCGAAGAGGGTCTCGGCCTGGTCGCAGGGGAAGGCCTCCTCGGGGTGGGCGCAGGTGAGCGACTCCTGGCTGAACACGGTCTGGTTGCCGCAGAAGAAGGAGAAGTGGGCGGTCTCGAGGAGCTCGCCCAGGTCGTCAGCGACGGGCAGGCACACGTGGAACACTCGGCAGTCGCTGCTGACGTCGGCGTAATAACCGTAGCTTCGACCGGCACAGTCGAAGGCCTGAACGGGCTCTGCGCTGAGGACGTCGAGGTAGCCGTCGGAGAAGCGGAAGGCGGAGTTGGCGGCGGCGACGCCCGCCAGAGCCAGGAGAGCTGCGAGGACCTTCATCGTGACTGAGGAGACGGAAAGGGAAAAAACATTAGCGAAAGTAAAGCTAATCGTATGGACAGAAAATCTACATACTTTTTTCTTCCTGTTTTCTGCTAGTTTGCTCATTTACTAATAAGATCATCAAAGTAAGACCTTCATTACAATTATTCACCTCCTTATCTAACTATAGCTATTTCTATCTATCATATATATATATGAAATACCCTCCAAATTGAACCCTAGGATTCCAAGGAGTTTATGACACCATCCCTTTTCCCACGTACTCTGTCGTGTCTGGCGAAGGACTGACTGCCCACGACGCCCCGAAGCCTCTTATATATGCCCTTCCCAGTGGGCGTCAAAGTGTAAGGGATGATAATGATAACAATGATAAGGATAAGTAGGGAAGATGGCTAGCTCTAGTAACTATTTTGGTTTTCCCTTTGTTTTTGTTTTTTTCTTTTCTTTTCTTTTTTTTCCTCTTTTTTTTGTGTAATTTGCTTATTATTGATTTCGATTTTAATGAACAATTTGAATTTTTTATGTGGAGTATTGGTTCGGAAAAAGCATATATTATTTTGAAAATCATTTATTTATTTTCTTTCATTAATATCATATGCTTATTTATAGATATAGTTTTTGTTTATCTATTTATCTCTTAAGGCAAGACATAACATCTTAGCTGTTATGCCATCAAAATATTTTGCTCAAGTGTTAAAATGATGTTTGCTATATTTATGAACTTGTTTAACTCTAACATACATTTTGATTTTTTTAGTCTTTAAGAAATAATAATTATTTATTGTTTTAATATTATTTATGTTGTGTCTATTTCTATCACTATAAATTTATATTATTTTTATCATCGTTATTATGGTAATTGTTACTGATATATGATTATTGTTATTAGAGATTTATCGCTGTTTTTATCGTTGTTTTAATTATTTGCAATGTCATAATCATTGTTATAATTAGGGATTTTCATGACACTGTTACATATTAATTTTGTTACTATTTTTCTTTACTTCGTTATATATTTCATTGTATATTTGTATAACTATGATATGTATATATTTAAATTAATGTTATTTTGTTATCATTTTCAACACTATTTTTACATATTGTTATAATCACTGGTCATTATTATCATTATCATCATTATTATTATTATTATCATTATTATTATTATACTGTTTAGCGTTACTGCTATTTTACATTATTGCCTTTACTGCTATTCTTTTCATTGGGTATTAGTATATCAATAATATTAGCTTATCAGTACTAATAAAGTGATTATTAGCAACAGATGTAATGTATTTAATTATTGTTATTATTAATTTCACTGTCATTATCCCCTTTCTTTATTCGTTTATCTCTTTCGTCTTCTTACTTTTCTGTCTCTTCTTTTCATTTGTTTATTTGTTGATTTATCTCCACCTATCTTATACTTTTTTCATTCTTTTTCTTCTCCATATTTTTCCCGTTTCTTATCTATCTGTGTCTTTTGTATTTTTTTTTTTTTTTACTCCAACTCTTTTCCGTGTTCTTTTTTTTTTTTTTTTTTTTTATCTCTCTCTTTCACATTTCCTCATCTTCTTCATTTTCTTTCACTTCATTTCCTTCATCACCTCTTCCTCCATTTATCATCAATCTCCCTATTTTTTTACCTTTTTTTCTATCACTATTCCTCTATTCCCTTCTCCTCCATCATCTTCCCGTACCACCTCCTCCTCTTCTTTATCAATGTATCCCCTCCCTTCACTTCGCCCTTTCTCCTTCAGACACGAAGGAGATTCGAAACGCATTATTTACTTCCCTCGAGAAAAAGTTGTGCGAATTAATTTCCCTGGAGAAAACGTTGTGCGAATTTTCTTCCCTTGAGAAAACGTTGTGCAAATTTTCTTCCCTCGCGAAAACGTTGTGCGAATTAACTTCCCTTGCGAAAAAAATTGTGCGAATTTCCTTCCCTCGAGAAAACGTTGTGCGAATTGACTTCCCTCGAGAAAACGTTGTGCGAATTAACTTCCCTCGAGAAAATGTTGTGCGAATTTTCTTCCC